TCATTATCACCTACCTAGGCAATTCTAAGAATCAATTTTGGCTCCGTCTTAATATAATCACAAGCCTGAATTATGTTACAACCAAATAATTTAACATTTTTTCCTAAGTGTTAAATTTTAAAATTGTATCAAACTGGGTTGTACCCCATCAGTATGGCTTATTGAATTACTGTCAGAATATCTGACACACACTTTGTACATTAAAATATTTACAGAATGCTGACATATTATAAGACACCATGGAAACACCAACGTCGATAAGACAGTTTCACCTTCCAAGACTTCTGCAGTTTAAAATAGGAGGTAAGATATGTACACCTAATAATTATGAAATAATTACCACAGGAGAAATGCCTTCAAGAGGTACACAAGCTAAAAACAGGGGGGAAAAAATCCATAAAGAAAAATTCAACCTCCAGCCCAACTGACCAGAAAAGACTTTATGAACATTTAAATTAGTCCTTAAAAAATGACCAGGATAGGTGTGAGGGAGAAAGGTCAGCATTAAATGAGGAGTTTCTAGTATGGGCAAAAAGGGAAAAAATAAAAATCCTCGCTTACGGGACAATGATAAAGCCCCAAGAACGATGTCAGTGAGAATAGAAAAAAGAACTACAAAGAAAAATGAACTCATGTTTAATTTCCCAAACTCTAGGGTTAGCTTTTTATAAGAATCAGTTCAAACACAGGACCAGTTTACCAGCAAGATAATGAAAGATGATTGTTCTTTGTGATTACAAAAGTATTATTCTTGCCAAATACTACCCCACATGAATGGGTTCTACTTGACAAAGAGAAAGGAAACCTTAGGTATTTTCCTCTAACATACCTTCCTAAACAAATAGGTCCACAACTTTCTCTTCTTGTACTTTTGATCTTATAATCAACTGGGAAAAGTAAAAATGAAGGGAAATGAAGTTAGGATCTACCCTAACAGCAGAGCAGAAAGATAAGCACGGGTTCCCGTAAACATTTTTAATGTAGTAACTCTCACCATCAGCAGGAGAGTGTTTATCCAATGCATTAAGAAGAAAATTCTGAGAAAGTCTTTATAATCTTCTGAAAGCTATGAGAGGGATGAGGATTTTTTTTTTTGAAATGTTGGGCAAAAGATAATGACATTTTACAATAAATGTAACCTATTTCATATATAAAGAAAACTATAAAATACAAAAGACCAGGTTTTTTTTTTTGAAATGTTGGGCAAAAGATAAGAATGACATTTTACAATAAATGTAACCTATTTCATATATAAAGAAAACTATAAAATACAAAAGACCAGGTTTTTTTTTAATGTTTTTTTTTTTATTATTATTGCTATTTTAGTGAGAGAGGAAGAGATAGAGAGATAGAAACACTGATCAGCTGACTCCTGCAAGCGCCCCCACCAGGGACTGAGCCTGCAACCCAGGCATGTGCCCTGACCAGGAATGGAACCACCGACCCCTCAGTGCATGGGTCCACGCTCAACCACTGAGCCCCAGTGGCCAGGCCAAAAGGGGAAGGTTTTAAGTTATGAGTGAGATGTTGTTTTTCCTAAAAATTTGACCCAGTGTAGTGAAAATTATGGATTGCATTCCACCAGACTTTCAGATTTATAGGAGATGCTAGTTGTTTTTTTCTCTTTCCTCCATGCTATTTCATTCCACCAGACTTTCAGATTTATAGATGCTAGTTGTTTTTTTCTCTTTCCTCCATGCTATTTTGTATTTTGTTTTAACCAATGTGAAGGCAAATACTGTCTTCCTGAAAATTGATTAAATATGTTTAACATGTACTTCCTTGCTTTAAAACACACACACACACAGTAGAAATGTACAAAATGTGTGTTTGAAGTTTTAAATTCATTTTTTATCATTTCCAGGAGAGTACATTAATTAACTGTTTTCATGAATAACTGAGGTGACATCTGAAAGTATAAAAACTGATTATCCTCCAAGAATAAGTACCTGAAGTACACACTAGGACAATTTCCATTTGTGAGTAAGGAGTCCTGATACTATACACATTGTAACATGGTTTTCATTAGCATTTTTCTACAAAGTTTCACTTAATACTGGCAAGACCCTATTGCAAATCTGGAGTGTAGTTGGTGTCTCGCGCCTAAACCATGATGAGGGCAAATGCTCTCCTTTAGGTTATTTCACTTCTAACCCCAAAAAGATCACACGGGAATAGTCTCTTTCCTTTACACACACTGATATATTCACTTACTACAGATGTGCAAGTTCTAGTATATGAACTAATTACTTAAAAGTTATCTTAGTGCTTGCCAAGAAGTAACAGCTTCTGAAGACAACGCCACAGCACACTAAAAGGAGAAAAAGATAAACTCGTGCAAGTTTCTATTTGGATATAAGATAAATAACCTAATAAAAAGTAAACAGTTGTATCTCTGAATCCAATTTCAAGATTTAGATAAAACGCCTACAACCCTTTTAAATAAGATAAAGTAGCAGTAAAATAATTCTTGATTGCAAACTATATGGAAATTAGGGTGTTTTTTTTAGTACAACACAAGGTTGAATGTTTGAGTAGAGCACCCAGCAACATGCCAGGAACTGGGCCCAGAATATCTACTGGGCTTAACGCCTCAATAGTTTTGTCTTTTTCATAATGAAAGCCTCATTCAGGAAGAATACTTTTCATCTAACTCCAGATTTCTTGAAAACCCAAAAGAAGACCGCAGATGCCATGTCAAGAAAGTCAGACTGAAAAACTGAAGACAACAACGTGAACAGAAACACATCCCTTCTGGGAGCACAATGTCCGGCACAGGAGCACCATATCGGATGGACAGTAACAGATTGTCAGGAATAAACACTCCACATTCTACCCAGTGTCTTTCTGATGTTATATCAACAGTTACACTGATAGTGCTCTTCTAAAATACAATTTCTCCCTTTGGAGTGTATTTTCACCAAGAAATACTTTATGAGAATAACTGAAAGTCCTAGTCCATGTTTGGCTATACCTAGGAAGAAAAAATAATTGAAAGAGCTTTGTTTTTGCTCATTTTAACTAAGAGAGAAACTAGGCTGGGTGAGTCCCTCCTCTTCATTCCTCCTTGCCTAAGGATACCTCTTCAGCAAAAACACTACAGGCTTGCAATCAGAGAAGACATTAGATCTTTGAGCCCTAAAAACAGTTGGAAGTTCTCACTGAGAGCCCAAGAGACAACTCAGGGGGGAAAAAAGTAACTTTATGTGTTTAATGCGTCCCCCCCAAAAGGGGATAAAATAGTAAGAACCTATAATGCCTACCCATACCTCCCCTCCTTCAAACTCCTCTTTGATTTTCCTGAGAAAGCAAGTCCCCTCATTTACTTTATCGTCCCAGCCTAACTGTAAGACATTATTCTTAACATACTACTCCTAATGTAAAGTATGAAAATGGTCACGTATCCTGCTCTCACACTGTAACTGATTATTCAGAATAGCCACAATAGACAAAATAATTCAAAGTCATTAACTTTAGAGACAGTCCTGAACCATCACTGGTTCCTCTTCCTCCAAAGTTTGT